AATTAGCTATCTTATACGCCATGTTTAATTTTATAGGATTTCTTTTCTCACTGTTAAAAGGAATCTATAACACATGCGGTATACACACACAAGTAAACCGACAAGCATGTGTAGCACGTATACTATTTGCAGGATTTTTTGGAATTTTTTCATCATCAATCAATAAAATACTTCTAGATGCACAAATAAAAGAATATAATACAAAAATATCCACAAGACCAAACACATATAACGAGGAACATAATAAAGTAGACACAACACCTACAGATACCAACCCTACCACAAAACCATCCATTATCATTAGTTCCCCGAAATTTTCGAAACCTAGCAATCACAAATAACCCAAATTTTAGACCAAAAACAGCGCAAAGCCCTATTCAGCACATAATGACAAATCATGAACAAAATGATAAACCATATGAACAAATTATAAAACAACCTCACACCACCACTTTTCAATCTCGAAATAATCATTTTTTTAGCCCACGATGAGCTGACAACTTGGATCCCTCCATCGCTCAAATTCCCACCCAGCCAACGTCCAAACTCAAATCCCAATTATCCCACTTTTTGCTTTCCCACCACCCGATTTTCCAATTATTAATATGTCATCAAGCACGAATTTTGATACTAACTCAGATATTTCAGTTTTTCATACAATCTCACAATTTAATAACGCTAATGTAGAAACCCCCGACGAATTTGCAGAATCCGAACCATCTCCCTCTACTCATACCCAGACCAACTCCTCAGTTTTTTCGCAACCCCCTTTTCAACCCATCCAATCCACTCATCCACTCCCATCCCTTTCCACTCCTTCTTACGCTTCCCAAGTAACCCCAACCTATTCTCCATTTCATTCCGACAGATCACATAATAACTCCCCAGATACCATCCAAATTTCCGCAGAACTCGACAATTTTAAAACTTTACAACAACAATTAATGCACCCCAACACCCTTACAATACATCAACTATCATCCACAATAACATCCTCAAATCCACCAACTGCTACACCCTCTTCAGCTTACACTCCATCATTACCACAATCATCCACATCCACTGAAACACCTACCAGTACTAACCGAGCTTATCGCACTTTTAAACGAAAAATCCCAAATCAACAATTCCCAACCAAACCCGGAACAACCCGAGAATACATCAACCACCCAGAACACACAAAAACGAAAAACTTTCTAGAAATCACCCTACCATCATTTCCGCATTATACATTAAATACACCTACCATAACTAACGATACACGCAATTTTGTTGATGAGCACGTTGTAATGCCAACACTTCATTGGACAGCTTATTATCATTATACTAACCCCCGCTGCCTACCATTAGCTAATACTGCTGAAAGTATCGAGAAAAATAAAAACATGTTATACAGACTAACCACAACACTAACACCTCGACAATTTACTTACGTTGGATATAAAAAATTATTAAAAACATTCACCGCACCCCGAGCTAACGATTTTGCAATAGAATACTACGATCATAATATCATCCGCCCTAATCAAGATCAATTTTTAGATGAAGACCGCTTCGCAAACCCGCAACTAACAGAAAAACTTTTCATTAAAACATCATTTGTATTTACGCTTAATATTTTTGATAGAAAGCATGATCATATTATTTCCGAATCACTAGTTGATATTCAAGCATACGAGAGCTTCTATGATAAATTTTAGTTATTTTCACTAACCTTTCACTTTCTTTCACCACAGGAACACGATTTGCACTGTTCCCACGATCTTATGTTACGCACTAAACAAACGCACACATATACATATTATCGTTTTATACAAAATCATTTTGATTAGCACACCCCATCAAGACAACCTCACCATCGTTTTCAGTTTCTTAACTCAAAATACACGTCACCATTTTTTCTAAATTTTACATATTGCATTAAAGATACTAACCTACACGGCATCCTCCGCAACTATGACCCAGTTACCCAAATGTATATATTCTGTCCCATCACAAAGACCTTCAATGCCGAAAAACCAAGACCCTTCCTTATCCCGCATGAATTTATCACACCTATTGAAATACCCATTCTAGAATTCATTCACAATACTGAATAAAACCATAAAATATATAACCTCATCCAAAACACACCTTACGAGTTTGCAGTAGGCACAGAAGAACTAAACACCATCAAGGCACTTCAATTGCTTTGGCCACTACTACAAACTAAAAACATCATACGCATACTAGCCAAGTTACTAACAACATCAGACATGATTCACGACATCTTCCCCCCGGCTTTTTCCCAGAAGACTAAGGTAACTATAATTCAAAATACTTTTAACTAATAAATTCAAATGTATACTAACCATTTTTTATCAATTTTTAATTTATTCTTTTAGTTTTCACACCACAATCATCTACAAAACAGAAAAAGACAAATAAAAATACAAACTTGTTAAATTATACTCAAATTTCTTAATCTTTAGCACTAAATAATGTAGTAAAATTCATACCTATTGTAGTAATTTCATCTATAAATTATTTCCCCACGAAGCAGTAAAATTAAGTACGATGACAATTTATAATTTTAAACTTCCCCAAAACGCAATAAAATTCAAATTCAATGCACTAAGTTCATAAAATGAGAAAGCAGTACTAAAATTTTCAAGATTTTCATTCATTCGCACAAGAATTCTATCCAAACTCGCACAGCTCGCCCACGAAGAATTGCTTAAATAAAGATCTTAAGTTCCAAGCTTTCACTATAAACAACTCTAACACACGATAACAAGTTTCAAGCTTTCCTTTAACCCGGTTGGAAAGGAATTATATACTAAACCAAACAAACCAACGCAGCTTACTAAACACCACACATCATAAAGTAACAGCATGACTAAAAAAAGAAAACCAACGGTACCCAAACCGGATTAACCCAGCTTAAAACTTGATAAATTATTCTTTTGAAGACTATTATAAAGTCTAAGAAAGAAATAATAAAACACAAAAAAGTCGCAAGACAAACCCATACCAAAAACAATTTGATTTTTGAAAAAAGGACACAACCAAAGTAACATAAGAAAGACCAACAAAAAAACATAAAACGTTATCACAAAATAGGACCTCTCAAAGAAACAGCATGCAATCATACTCCCACTCCTGGCATAACCCACCAGAGAAGGACGTCCTGAGCATGCTCTATAGCCAGCCTAACCCACCGCGCTACATCCACGCTTTGTGACCGCACTTCTATTTTTAATAAGAGGTACTCAAGGGTGAGTAACTCTTCCAAATAACTGAACTAAAACAAAACGCTTTTGTGAAAACGACTTACTAAGTTCATGATTAAAAAACCAAATTAACATAAATTTATAAAATGTAAATCATACTTTGCCATATATAGATCATACACAACAACAAAGACGAACATCCAAAGACAAGATGATCCCATCACAATTGCACAAAAGAATGGCTAAACACAACCGACATGCCGTCCACAATCACGACTCAAAGGATTTAGAGTACGACTTGACTTCGTAGAAAAGGACTTCATTGAACTAGACCAATGACCACCTCGATGCTCAAGTATACGTACATATCGAGTTACAAGGCATCCCTTCCAAACACGATCTTCACGCCAATTCCCGACAAGGCTGCACACAAAACAGTTCTCTACTAATACAAAAAAAAACCTGACATAGCAAACCATTTTGAAATCTGATTGATTTCACTGGGAGTCACAGTCGTTGTCGAATGACGCAATAATAACTTCCTATCCCTGATTCCAGCGTCCTGGAACGTTCTTCTTCAAGAGGCACCGGATAAGAAAATGATGTTCGCCAAATACCAACGTTCATCATCCATCCTTCAAATTGCAGAGAAGAAAGATAGTTCTAAAAAAATCTGTAAGCCCTGGATGGGTGGAGCCTGATCTAAACTACATTTTATTATTTGATAAATTAGATATTTTACCACTGTAAAATGTTTACTATTAACCAATCATAATCCATCCAACTAACAACCCACTTATTTGTAAATGCTGAAATTACTTGTAATTTCAGCACCAGAGAGATTTGAATTTAACTTAGAAATTAGTTGCCTCTCCAAGAGAACTTCAGCGGACGCAATAAGCCAGTATACTCTAGATCTATTGAGCCTAGCATAGACTAGTTAAACACCCTGAGACTAGTAGATATAAGAGTAAGAGTAGGATCGGTATTAGACTAAGAAGTTGCACGAATCTATCCGGCCGAAAATTAGATAGCGTGACGAGCAGACGATGTACCCTATCCGAAATTACTCTATGAGTTAACCTCAACGACATAACTCAACAGCTACCGTTTTTCCATAACTGCCAAAATTCAAAATCAGCACGTCAACCATTGAGACGAGCGCCACATCTATTGCTATAACAAAATATGAAATTCAACTCTCACATTCTCAAAACTTAAAAAAAAACCTATCAAACACTATTATATTTCCTGGCAATGCCTAGAAAACAGAAAATCCAGTATGCAGAAAAACTGTTCAATTTCTTTTATCTTGCAACTTTTGCTCACAAAAATGCCGCATTAAAACCCGCGCAACAGAAATTGATTATTGTGAAATTTGAATATTGTAAATTGTAAAATTTGTCAGAATAATATGAAAAAAAAAGTTGTTTGCTCATTTGAAGTGCCCTGAACGAACTTACGAATTCTTGAGAAGCAAAATTTTTGCCAAAATTTATTTGAATTGTGAAAAACTTTTCCCTCTGATACTTAGAGAGCTCGAAAAATCAGTTTGGCCGACCTAGAAAAATAGGTCGTCAAAATTTTTTGAAAATACCTCCTCGAGAAAACCCTAGATCCGCCCCTGAAAATCCTACAGATATTTTAAATGACTTTGTTCTGATAAATTGAATATCAAACAAAGTCATTGTCATCAGTTGAACAGCTTTTTTGATCAGCAATTTTTGTTTCATGCAAACTATGGACTGTATAAAAAAAGAGAAAAAAATACGTGTTTTATATGTCCAGGCGAATTGAGGAACGAAGAGTCGAAGAAAGGAAACAGTTGAAATATGGCAGATTTGGAAGATGAGTTTGACGTGGTCAAGTCTTTTAAACTGATCGTGCACAAACTTCTGCTGGCTCTCGCATTCTGTCTGTCTCTATTCGGCCTTCTCCTCATCGTCATCCTGCGCAATGGAGTCGAAAGGTCAGTAAAGGTCACAAGTGAAAGGTCAGTAGAGGTCACAAGTCAAATGTCAGTAAAGGTTACAAGTGAAAGGTCAGTAGAGGTCACAAGCAAAACGTCAGTAAAGGTCACAAGTCAAAGGTCAGTAGAGGTCAGAAGTCAAACATCAGTAGAGGTCACAAGTGAAAGGTCAGGATAGCAGCACCAAATTTTGAAGCAAAATTGAAGTGTTGAAAGCAGTTTTTGAGTGTTTTAAGAAATTTTTGAGGGTTTTAAGAAATTTTTGAGCGGTTTAAGAATTTATTTGAAAAAAAAAAGAAAAAAGCTCAAACCGCAAAACTGTTCATAAATTTTGTCTTTAATAAGCCAATACCAACAATCCTGAACTGGATATGTTTAGGGATATCACAAACTAAATAAGTTTTGTTGGTGCTCTAATTGAAATATTATATAATATCTTTTCCTGGCTTATACTTTCCTGTAACATGTTTATCAGTCATTGTTTTGTACGCTGCAAATTTTTTATCGATAAAATTCCTCAAGAAGAATGAGCTTAAGTATGTCTCATTGACTTCAGACTTTCCTCAATTTTAGAAACGAATTATTAAAGCAATAGAAAATTATAACAACTAGTAGATACCGTTTCCAGACACTTTGACAGAGATATTTTGCGTCCAGAAATTTTTGAGATAATTGTTTGAAAGAAAAAATGATCTATGCGAATTTGAGTGGAAATCTAGCAAAATATTTTTTTTTATTTGAGCTTAAAACAACAATATCTTTCGAATGGTACAATAAAAAAATTCTTTCAAAATTTCAAGTAAATTTGCAACAATAATGGTTTATAATGACATTTTGGACATCGTTTTTCCATTATAATCGGTTTTATTCTTGAAACTCCGGTGCGGGGCAAAACCGATCGCTCCTTATTTGTTTTAGTTGGCTTTATTGGAAATATTTAACCCCCATAACTTTACGAAAATGATCAAAGGTGAATATTTCAAAAATTTGAGCTGAAAACAACAATACCTTTCGTCTGCTATAAAAGAATCTGTCTAAAAAAATTTGGTTAGCTGAAAAGTCGAAAATTTGTCTGGAGAAAAACCACCGCAACCACAAATATTCGATCACTTTTCTCAAAGTTTGGAACGAAAAGATACAGCTACATACAAAATCTGGACTTAAAATACTTTGCCAAAAGATCCCGGTAGAAAAACCGGCAGAGGATACATGATCCGAAGTCAAAAAACAGAAACCCAATGTTACAAATCAAAAACTTGATCAATGACGTACAAATTTAAAGTCCTTAGCATATGGGTAACATCTATTGATATAAATGCAGCTTACCAATAGCGTAATTACATATGAATGAAGATTTTCTAAGATGAGCGAGAGCTATTTTTTTTTTCTCTAAATGGACTTATGTCAGCTCAATGGCAATTCGAGATGGATCAAACTCCATAACTTCTACTGTATCTTGTAGGTTGATTGGGAATATTCTTGTGGTAGAGAGACGGAATGATGGAAAATTTTCAACCAATCAGTATCGTTAGACATTCCTATTCACGGAATGGTTTTGCACAAAATTGAAATCAAAATTAGCAGAAAATGACTTTTAGCAGAACAGCAAAAATTTGCTTCTGCAGGTATCGGCTAAAATTTTTGTTTTCTCATTCGATTTTTAAAAAGTATCTTTGAAATATTGCATTTTTTTCCAATGAGTTAATGCGTCTGCTAACTTTGCTTTCGCTAAGTTTTAATGGCCTGAATTTTTTAGTTTTAGTGAAACTTTCGCAATTTCTTGGAAGTTTTTGAATACTCAATTTTAATTGGCCGAAATTAGTTTACCATCAATCGGTTCCTCCGTCATAGGGGTCTCTACCCTAAGACTATAGATAGACTGTTTGACAAAACTAGTTGATAGCGGTAAAAATGTCTCGAGAGTGTTTAATTTCTGTCACCTTTGGCAACCCCCACCAAGCGCCCATGGATCAAAATTGATTATATTGGGTTCTATTGACAATATAATTGTTCCGACTTTCGATACGAAAGTAACGGAATATTTGTGCTCGGGGTGAGTTTTTTTCTCCAGACTTTTTAACTAGTCCTTTTTGACGGAAATTTTCATATCATTCAAAAAATGTTGTTGTCTTGAGCTCAAATTTGAAAAGATATTTCACCTGTGATGTTTTTTCGTAACGTTATGGGGGTTTAAATATTGCCATTTTGGCCCCTTCGGGACAATTAACGCGCGATATATTTCGTGCTATTATCGCGTAAGCGGAGATTTAATCCGTCTTAAAATCGTTCCAAATTGGTTGAAGAAGCTTGTTTGCCATAATTGATTTGTTACATGGAACCAAATCTATCCTTTTGTACTTTATATGGCGTGTGGGGGCAGGGGCGGATCTAGGATTTTCTCGAGGGGGCGGATTTTCAAAAAATTTTCGAAAATTTTGAATTTTTTTTAGGTCGACCAAATTGACTTTCCAAGCTCTCCTCAAACATTAAAAAGACAAAAAAATTTGAAAAAAATTGTTTTTTTTTGGCGCGCGCTCCACTTCAAAATTAGTATACATTGGCACCGAAGGCGCCTTTAGAAAAATTTTATGGTCGGTCGGCCAAAAATGGATTTCTTAAACAGTACCAAAGGGGGGACCCTTTGGGTCGGCAGGGGTTCGAATCCCTGAAGGGAAAAAGGGCGTCCGCCCTTACCCCCCGCCCTGCTAAAATTTAGCAAATTCGGCGCAGAGCAGTTTTCATTACGTTAATGCATGAGCATAGGAGCCTGAAAACATGCTGCAAAAATCAACGAAGTTTTCAAAATGTTATTTAGTTTTGAATTTAAATGTTGTGAACTTTACCACAAAGGCGAGATAAATTTCATACATTTTTTTTTTCAACTTTCGAAGAAATGTGGATCATATATGCTTAAAATGGTATTCTTTATTCAGTCAAATTAGCCAATCAAAATAGTAGTTTTTACCAATTTTTTTTTAAAATCAATTGAAGATTTCGACGCCGTGATTAAACATATAGAAAGTTTTTAGCTCTGATTAATTTTGTAACATTTTTGGGTTTGAAAATTGCCATTGGGCCATGAGACTTATTTATTAGCGCTGTGAAAACTCTATGAGATCAAAAAACATTCAGCGATTCATCTATACGAGGCGAATTATCCCGCATTACAAAAATGTTCTTATGAAATGAGTTGCGGCAAGTAAACCGGTCGTACTAATTTGGTATACTCAATTTTTTTTCACTTGTTCAATATTGTCCTAAATTAACAGATTTTTATTATTTTTTTTTTACCAAACACAATGCGATACAGATTAATGGAAATCCTCATCTTCAAAGTAGTGCCTTCATATACGGGCAGTCTTGTTAATATTAATATTCTTATTGTTTTTTAGGAAGATTGACGAGATGGTGTTGCGGAAAAGTAAGTTATGAGTTAATTAACATTAACCAGTAGTTTTATGTTACGTGTTTCTTGAGCTCAGTTTCCGGAACCTGTTATCAACATTACTTGTACTTTTAGTTAAAATGCCAACGTTGACCAAACTAAATTTGCCTCACGGATATCTGATTAATAACCCAATCTTTTGTTTCAAACAGAATTTATTGATTTTTTTTACTAAATCCAAAAGACTGACATTATTTTCAAATAGTTTTTTTATTATGCGTCAAGTGATTCGTTCATAAAACTGCGAGGAATAGATGATCAGAAAGATCCACTGCATTCGGGCTTTGAACCTCCATTTACTAATTTCCCAGTTTTTTTACGTAGCCGAATACCCGGACAGCCGAAAAATAAATTTGTTCCCCTATAGCCCAAAATTAAATTCTTTCTCGGATTGCCGATTTTTTTCCGGAAATATTTCTTGCTCCCGATAGCCAATTGATCCAATTCGATCCACACCTAAATTTGAGCTATCCCGAAACGCTGTAAAGATCCTATTTTAACAAAACTTCGTGACACGGAGGCAAATATTTGATAAAATTTAGGCTAGAAATTTGAGGATTTGAACAATTTTTTGTCGTCTGCTCCCTGAGTCCATCTGAAGACACATATAAAATTGCTCTTATTTCTTTTTTAATGGATAACCGAATAAATATTTATTCCCTGATAATCAAAAGTAAATACTTATTGGGTAGCCGAAAAAAAATTAATCCCGGATAGCCGAAAAAAAATTGTTCCCAGATAGCCGAAAAAATGCGTAATTAAAATAGTCGCATTTCTTATCGCTTTCTAATTCCATGAAATCAAAGCTTTTACGAATAGAAATCATTTCGAGTCTATTGGATTTTTGGTTGGCTAAGTTCCAAAAAAAATCACGATAGTTTTACCATTCCAATAAAAGTACTCCAAATTTTGTGACAGTTTTGCTCTTTTAGTCAAGTTTTGTTTTGTTGCTAATTAACTTATCAAGAATATTTCATCTTTTTCGGCTAACCGGGATTTCGGGAATTAGGCTCGAAAAACAGAGAATGTTTGGTAAATAAGTAGAAATGTGGGCGCAATAAGTAAAAAAAACGGGGCAGTACAAGAGTGCCGAAATACAACAGAGCCGAAAAAAATTAGTTCAATAGTGCCGAAAATGAAAACTTTGCTCAACAGTGCCGAAAATATGAACATAGGCGCTACGCGCAATACACCGAAGGCATAGAAACTGAAGCAAAAACCAAACAACTTGAACAACTAATAATTGAAGAATAACAGTTCTAGAACAAAAAATCGTACTAATACATGTATACACCAAAATTTTGCTATATCGAGAAAGAGCCTGAAATAACAGTTCTAGAACTAAAAATCGTACTAACACATGTATAGGTTAAATTTTTGATATATCAACGAAGATCATAAAATAACACTTCTAGAACTAAAAATGGTACTAACACATGTATACGCTAAAATATTGCTATATAGACGAAGAGCCTGAAATAACAATTCTAGAGCTAAAATCGTACTAACACCAATATTTTGCTATATCGACAAAGAGCCTGAATAAACATTGTAGAACTAAAAATCTTACTAACACATATATACACCAAAATTTTGCTATATTGACATAGAGCCTGAAATATTGACAAAGGACCTGAAATAACAATCGTAGAACTAAATGTCATACTTACGCATTGTAGATCAATTTCTATAGCTATAATAAAATACAAAAGATTGTGTTTGTATGTGTAGCAAAACGCCTCCTGTTTTACACCTAATATAAGTATACACAGACCAGTTAATTGAAACTACAGTGTACCTATTACAAGTATACACAGATCAGTTAAACTAAAGAAACTGTGTACCTAATACAAGTATACACGATCAGTTGATTGAAACTACAGTGTACCTAATACAAGTATACACAGCAGTTGAAATAGAAAAACTGTGTACCTAATACAAGTATACACAGACCAGTTGATTGAAACTACAGTGTACCTAATACAAGTATACACAGCAGTTGAGAAAAAACTGTGTACCTAATACAAGTATACACAGACCAGTTGATTGAAACTACAGTGTACCTAATACAAGTATACACAAAAGTTGAAATAGAATAACTGTGTACCTAATACAAGTATACACAGATCAGTTGATTGAAACTACAGTGTACCTAATACAAGTATACACAGCAGTTGAAAAAAAACTGTACCTAATACAAGTATACACAGACCAGTTAATTGAAACTACAGTGTACCTAATACAAGTATACACAAAAGTTGAAATAGAATAACTGTGTACCTAATACAAGTATACACAGATCAGTTGATTGAAACTACAGTGTACCTAATACAAGTATACACAGCAGTTGAAAAAAAACTGTACCTAATACAAGTATACACAGACCAGTTGATTGAAACTACAGTGTACCTAATACAAGTATACACAAAAGTTGAAATAGAATAACTGTGTACCTAATACAAGTATACACAGATCAATTGATTGAAGCTACAGTGTACCTAATACAAGTATACACAGCAGTTGAAAAAAAAACTGTACCTAATACAAGTATACACAGACCAGTTGATTGAAACTACAGTGTACCTAATACAAGTATACACAAAAGTTGAAATAGAGTAACTGTGTACCTAATACAAGTATACACAGACCAGTTGAGCTGCTGGCAGAAAATCATACAGTGACTAGCTAAAACTTTGTAACCACCTGTTCAGAATGGCAAGGGAAGAATTGAAAATGTTTTTTTTTAAGAATTAAGGTGTAAAATTTATTGGTCGTACATTAAAACAGATTGTAAATGCTTAAAACACGTAGTCCAAAATGCTCGTACTCTTCGACGTGACCTGCATTGTCAACTGTGACCCTCTAAGAGAATGAATAAAATGCAGTAATGGTAAATTTCAAAAAAGATTCAAAGAAAATTATCACAAAGAACTCATCTACTGCTAGTCAATCAAAAATATAACAAGGTACATTTGAACGATTTGAGTACATTTGAGAGACATAACAAAAATTTGTCTACAACTAGACATCCAGAAAGTGTAAAGCAGTCTTAAGCGTACTACTAATAGGCGGTGTGTAAACGTGATACAACGCCTTGGGTGAACTCGAGCGTAATGGACGGGTTCTCGAGAAAGAACTCAGACAGGCTTACTTCGTTTGTGCATGGAGCGGGAAAAAGATTTAAATCTATCAGAAACCGGCGTTTGTCACTAATAACAACGTGTGCAACATCTTTTGGCGTTGGCGCCCGACTGACAAGTCCACATGCCGGATTCTTGCACTTCAGAACTTTTCCCTGCAACCGAAAATGATTTCAGTTTTTATTCAACAACGATACAATAGTTTTCAATGCAATACAAAAGCATTGTCTGAATTACACACTTTGCTAAGTTCAATGACTTCAACATTTTTGATGTTGCACGAGGAGCAGGTGTCGTGGTTCGATTGTTGAATGCATGCCCCACGACACAACTTGGACAACTTCGGTAACACGAGAGACAGCATCATCGGCAAGTGTTTCTTTCACCTTTTCGAATTCGCCATTGGAGTCCATTGTTGGGACAATCGAAAGAGCCTGAATTGAATATCAGAAAACATATGCAAAATATATAAAAAGTTGATTTAGCAAGAACTCACGTTAACGACAGGTTCTTCGTTGAAGAGTTTCACGCGACCGTCTACTGTGACAATGGTTGACGGCGTGTGGATGTCATGTATAGGGTCCCAGACATTGACAGTCACCCTTTCACCAGTCTTGGTGGCAACTTGCAATTCATTCAACTCGTGATTAGGGAGATGCTCTACTTTTCTGCTTATAATTACGCAGTCAAAAGCAACTTCCCTGTCGACAAGTGCATCCATATTTGAAAAATCAGTGATCTAAACAATGGGCTAAACATAAATATATATTCCCACCTCAATAAAGGATATATACGTGTAAGAAGAATACTGCACGCACCAAATTGGGATTTTCAAATTTTTGCCATAAATGCTGTACAGACGACGTTCCACTGACTTTGGTATAACTGCCAACCATCAGTACCATTTGGCCTGGATCCCGTTTATCCGATTTTGGTGCCGCGCTTATTGAAACGCGTGTCTTCTCGGATGAGTATTTCATAAATACGCTGTGTTTTGATTTGTCAAAACACAGACCTCGCAGAACGTCGTTTTCTGTTTGTATGTGAAATTCAAAGAAGGAGTTTGCTCCCTTTTCTCGCAACCCTTTCACTGCATGTAAGAAACCACATGTCGGCGAATTCGATGGACTCGCGGGCGATTGTGCTGCTGAACTTGCATTGTCTAATCTGGCACGCTTGGGTGTAGTTGGCCCATCCATTTTATCAACAAGTTTCTTAAACGCAAAAAAAAATAAAACATTCCAAGGGAAACACACTAATCGACAGACTCCACAGCTTCTTAATAGAAAGCTAGACATCAGATAAATCAACAATCAATTAAGGATAGTGAAAGAAAATAAAATAGGTTTATGAAAACTAACAATGCTTTCGTATACGCATACATTTGTCTCCAACAGGTTGGAATAAACATGATCTAAACATGTATTATCGTTTGTAGTTGGTTGCGCGATTAGTGAGCGCAGTGACCATCCATCAAGCAAAAACCGTGGAAGACTACACTGCATCAACACATTCTCATTAAAATCTCCAAACATAACAGTGGCAACCTCGTTGCAAGTGTACATATCCAGACAATATCGCAAGGCAGTTCGCAGTTGAGAGTCAGTAGTCGCAGAGCGACGTCTGTGCACGCATATCAATACAGAGAGGTGACGACGAACGATGCAGAATTGAACATTTTGATACATCAAAAAGTGAACATCACATTCAGCATAAATGTCACTCTTGATGTAGCAAACAATACCAGTGTGTTGTCTGCTCGACGAAACGTTGTATTCAAAGTCATCACGATCCATGTTAAATCCTTGAATGCTAAACGAATCTGAAGAATCTGTGCTATTCATCCAAGTTTCCACAAGGAAAATAAAATGACATCGGTATAAACTTTCGTCTGTCGCAAAAACTGCAAAATTTGACCTCAAGCTTTGAATGTTTTGATAGTACACGGAGGCATTGTACTCGTCCGCAAGATGCAGCTCAAAAGGGAGTTCCAATACTTTTGTGCAACGCAAGCGTTCCATCTCTGTTGTTACCTAAACAACAAAGAAAGCTTCAAAAACACATTTACATATAGTACATTAAGCTTATCGTACTGGTTACAGTTACCTTCTGACACACTTACTGGGGGTTCGTACTAGGGGTTATTTCGGAAATGTTGTTTAACAACATTTGTCTTTAGAAACTTATATTGTTCGTTACTTCTTGACAAGTGTTGGTGTTCTTTGAAATTTGGCAAAACTCGTAATTTGCTCAATCGCTGTCGATTATATTCTTGCTTGCGGTCAGTTCGCACTTGACCAATGGAATCTTTTCGCTGTGATACGCGCTCTTGCTCCACAAAAGTTGGACTCTTACGCAAACGTTTCAAACGCTGCCGATTGTATTCTCTTTTTGAGTTCTTTTTATCAAAAATCGTGGCCGCCAAATCAAACTCAATGGAGACTGGTGTTAGATCCACGTGACTGGGAACTGAATTTTGCGACAAACTATTTGTGTGGTTTATTGTCTTCGCCTTCTCGCGCTTCGTTCGTGCCCATTCTGCCTGGTACACTTTCCGATCCATCTTTGACTTTGTTAATTTTTTAACATTACCACAAGTGTTATTTGATAAATTGTCCAGCAGCATAATATTGGCAGCGGGTGTTGGATACATATCTTTCTTTTCACAAAGAATAACATAAGCACAACCCCAATCAGGGACATGGTGGTGCGATATGGTGCAATCGTTAACGCAAAGGTACTCATGAGCGGTTTTTATGACAGTAAAGTAATGACCGTTTTCAAAAGACCCCGTGTGAATAAAGGCAGCCTTTACTCCGTAATCACATCCACCAATTTCGATTGTTTCACCAATTGTGACTTCTGCTCTAGAGTAAACGCGATTGCCAGCGACAAACATGTAACGCGCAATCAGCAAAATAACAGTATTTGCAATATGGGTTGGTTCTTTAGTTGTTATTACCCTTTCTGAGATACACGTGGAATTTGGACATGTTACATTAACGGCTTGGTTGGCGAAGTGATTGACCACAAGCTCCTGCAGAAGTTGACCATTGCGTGGAGGACTTAAAACTAACGCAGAAGTAGTTTCAGGTCTTCTCCATGACACATTACACAGACAACACGTGAAATTATCTGAATACGATATTTCAAAGAAATTCCATTGGCCCTCAGATTTAAATGCATTGATAATTGACAGTAGTACCTCGGAAGCATCGTGCTGATGTCCATAGGTATATGAGAAGCTGTAATTCAAATCAAGATGCTGGAGAATTTTAACTTTGGAAGTAGACGCATTGATGAAAAAGTTTTCTGTGGACAGCATTTGACAAAATATCTCTTTCACAGTTGAAATTAACACGCCACCATGGTCAAATTCAGTAAGTCTACTGAGCCGATCTCTGATGCAAGCGCTTGACAACAAAAGCTGAAGAACAGAATTGAGATAGCAACTGTTGTCATCATTTGCAATGCCCGTGGGTCGAAATGGCTCCATTACATGACTGAAAATAGAAGTAACATAAAATTTAACATTTTGCTTTACGTTATTGAGTCCACGCTCCAACAAATTCTTTTTTGAGAAATACAAAAGCAAATTTGAAAATTAATTACCGGACAGATATAACTATAGATAAATCTTTAAAATAAATAATTTAAAATCATTTTTGATGTAGCTGCAACCCAAAAGCAAGTGGACAAATCTCGTTGGCAGCGTTCCCTGTAAATCGTTGTACGCTAATTGGTGATATACAGATCTTTCTGAAAATATCCTAAACAGAACAATAAATTGAAAATCATTTTTTGCTTTTAACTACATAGCTAAGAAGTAAAAAATTTCACAATCAAACAACAAAGACGCTAACTAAATAAATAAATAAATGAACGAACAAACCAACAAATGAACGAACAAACCAAAAATAAATAAACATAAATAAATAAATGAATAAATAAATACATACATGAATAATAAATAAAAGCAAAACTAAATGAAAGAAAATAATTAAATAAATATAGCAATAAATATCAACGAATAAACAAAACACACCTGATAAATAAATAAACAATAAAAAAATAAATCAATACATAAATAAATAAATACATACATAAATAAATAAATAAATAAATAAATAAACGCAAAACTGAAATGTACAAATAATTAAATTAACATGAAAAAATATATATCTCATGAACAAATAACCAAACAAACAGACCCATAATATAAATAAATGAAAGTAAATGAATTAAATAAATACACATACATAAATAATAAAAGCAAAACTAAATGAAAGAAAGAATAATTAAATAAATATAGAAATAAATATCAACAAATAAACAAAACACACCTGATAAATAAATAAGCAATAAAAAAATAAATCAATACATAAATAAATAAATAAATACATAAATGAATACATAAATAAATAAATATATAAATAAATAAAAGCAAAAGTGAAATGTACAAATAATTAAATAGACATGAAAAAATATATATGAACAAATAACCAAACAAACAGACCCATAATATGAATAAATGAAAATAAATAAATGAAATAAATACACATACATAAATAATAAAAGCAAAACTAAATGAAAGAAAGAATAATTAAATAAATATAGAAATAAATATCAACAAATAAACAAAACACACCTGATAAATAAATAAGCAATAAAAAAATAAATCAATACATAAATAAATAAATAAATACATAAATAAATACATAAATAAATAAATAAATAAATAAATAAAAGCAAAAATGAAATGTACAAATAATTAAATAGACATGAAAAAAAATATATGAAAATAACTAAGCAAACAGACCCATAATATAAATAAAAGAAAATAAATAAATTAAATAAATACACACGCAGAAATAATAAAAGCAAAACTAAATGAAAGAAAGAATAATTAAATAAGTAAACAAAACACGTGATAAAAATAAACAAAAATAAATATGTACATACATAAATTATAAATAAATATAAGCAAACTAAACATAATTAAATAAATAGAAGAACAGATAATTAAATAAATAAAGATGAACAAATAAAGAAACAAACATACGCAATCACGTGACATAGCGCGATATAGTCCAGCCCACATGATAATTGATAACTGTGGACGTTATTTGTCGACACTTGACAACAGACAACATTAAAAAAAAAACCCGTTACACGATACCATAACACCTTGACTAAAGTCTTCGGTGTAAACATATTTCAATATATTAAGTGCGGCAATCAAAAATAAAACGGCGAGTGTTTACAATCTTAAGTGACATATTTGTTTAATTTGCAGTTGCAGACATTTTGGCGCCGAAATTGGAGTGATTTTCTTTGATAATTAGCGTCAGTAATTTCCCCCTCTTTAGAAAATGCGTTTAAACTATTCTGAAATGAAAATTTCCCGCTTTTGTCGGAACTGTTGTATTTCGGCACTGTTGAACGCTGGGGTTGAGAAATTAGACGATAAGCAAATTAGACGGAGGTGCTTAAAAGGAAATTAGACGATTTTGCAAAACTGCAACTGTGAGAAGTTAGACGAATATGAGAGAGATTAAAATTGTTTGCAGACAAATTGCGTGAGAAAAATAATGTTGTATGCAGACAATAGTTAAGTTTCGGTGGCCAAATACTTTACAAATCAATCATGCATAATTTATTCAATTCAAAACTCTCCTGTAATAATTGGATTTGACATTTTATGTTCATTTAAACTATTTTTTTTGATAGATTTTGACATTTTATGTTCTTTTTGTATTTGTGAAACCTGACTCCTAAGAAAAAATTTTGTTGGCCCTTTCCTTTTCATAGTTTTTTCGTCTAAAATGCCAGATCTGTGAAAAACAAATTTCGTCTAATTTCGTTTTTGTAGCATCCGTCTAATTTGCTTATCGTCTAATTTCCTAGGCCCCGTTGAACGCCCCCAAAAATACCCACAAAAAAATTCTAGTGTCGATATTCTAGTGTGTGATTTTTGCAGGCTTGGAAATGTTGTTCAGCGGAGAAGCGATGAACGTTATGCAGACTTAGTTGAATTGTACACAACGCAAAAAGTTTGAATTTAAAGTATTTTTTAAGCGCAATTGATTAACTTTGACTTCAGTTTTTTGCAAATTTTATGACTTCCCCATTGCGTAAATCCAAAGTGCCATGAATTTCAAGCTTTTGCTAGAAAAAAAACTCAAGTGATCAAATTGAAAAAACTGTGCTCGAGCATTGCAGTGATGGTCTTAGCCGATGAAATTTCTGAAAAATAAAATATAGGTATTGACATTTATTGAAATCATGTGCGAATCAAAGGGTGGTTTTTAGTTCAGAAGTGGTTTTCATGCTAGCAGCAGTTTTGAGTTTTCGAATGGCTCAAACGAAGAAGTTAATAAACCAATTTACTGATTTCGTCCAAATTTTTACTGCATTTGCCAATTTTTTGAGAATTTTGATATTAAATTTGCAAATTATTCTTTAATTATTTCTGTTCAAACTTTTTGCTGCTCAATGTGAGGGTTATCTGTAGATGAAACCAATTTTTCCTTCAACTTTCCGAAGATAAAAGACTATCCATTTCCGGCAACTTTTCTTAAATTTAATTTTCCCACAATGAAATTTGATATTTATTCTTCAAATTGAAAAACCTTTATATAAACTTCAACTGATACTATCACCTTTATTTAGAGCATGTGATGATACAACGGTTACTTAGCAGTGAGTAAACAACTCGTAAGCAGACAGGACAGTAGGCAGGCAAGTATTCAATTTATCTATCTAAGGAAGTTTTAAAAAAACAAAACCACCAGATTTATTTCAGGGCAATTTAAAGCAACTTCGTTTTCATGAAAATATTTCAAATATCAAATGAATTTGAGCAATTTCGATTGGAGAAAAAAAATAATTTTCTAATCGAATCTGAATTTTTTTCTAAATCACTTGATTTCCATTTTAGCCAATCAGATTTGAGTCTTGTCCTAATTATCTGCTTACTGACCTGTCTGCTTGAGTGGTTATCTACTTTTAGGCAGTGTATCAAAAAATCGATAATTTTAAAGCAGAGAACGGGATGACCCAGGATATAACTGTCAACACCCGGGTTGAGGCTCGAAACTTGTCCAGAATTTGAAAGTCGCAACGCACACCATACCAGACCCTAATTTCATAGTCCGACAAATCTATAAGCAACACAGTGGATTTTCGCACTCTTAGTGATTCATCACAATCATAGCATCCTATGGGCGGATTGTAGGGGGGGGGGGGGGGAGCCGATGCTTCCTTTTCCTCCCTCTGAGGGATTCAACACCCTCATTAGCCAAAGGAACCCCATTGCTATTAGTTCATGAAAGCCAACTTCGGCCAACCAACCCCAAAAATTTTCTGAGGGCGCCTTTGGCGCCAATATATACTAATTTTGAAAGGGAGTGCAAGACGAAACAACGCAATTTTTCGTCAAAGTTTTCCAAACAGGTAAATAAGCCAATAAATTATACATCAAAAACAATTAGACCGAATGAAGTTTTATAAAAACGAAAAAATTATGTATAGGATGTCAGGGCTCAGTATAAATTTTAAGAATAAATCAAAAACTCTTGCATCTGGGAGCAAAATTGCTGGCCGCTCAAGAAAACTCTACAATGTGCCGACAAAGCTGGCAAAACATAAGCAGAGAAACAAAAGAAATAGTGAAAAAAACAAGGTCCGTCATTCCTCAAACTGGGGTGTAAAGACAACCGCCCTAATTCTAGGCTACGTGGTAAGCAGTCTCGACTCGAAATGCTAAGATGCACTAATAAAGTAACCTCAATTTCAATTTCAGATGAAAGAATAAAAACTTACGGGAAAAAATGCTATTTCACGATTACAAGACACTCGCTTTCGCAAGGGTAACCAATAGTTTAACCTTTCTTTGAACGAACTAAAAAAGAAGGCAAATGGAGTTGAAGAGAAATTTGGTTTATAGAGACGAAGCGGAGCTTCACATGACTTATGATACAAGAAGATTTTAAAACGTTTGATATTTTCGAAAATCGAACCTATAAACAAAACAGCCATGTTTTCTATAGCATCACTGCTGAAAACAAAACTTCAAACATAACTTTACAAAAAACCAGCAAGCAAAAATTCAAAATTCTGATAAGCGTTGTTTTAAGGAAAATTCAATTTGAGTGCTGTTTTGTAGCATCACAACGCATTATTAATCGTGAAAAACACATTCATATTCTTCTCAAAATTAAATGTTCAACAAGCGCGGATGTTGAAATTTAAAAACGATGGAATTACATACAATAACTTTATGTATGCGACCAGAAATATAAAGACAGCAAAACTTTTCACAAGTTAAATAATTAATTTCTAACTCTGCAAAAGTTCATTATTTCCACGAACGAACAAAAAAGGGGGAAATCCAAATTAGAAAATTGGTACATACAGACTAAGCAGAGCTTCGCATGACTTATGATTCAAATAGAACCTAAAACTTTCGAAATTTCCGAAACGAAAACCTATAAGCAAAACAGCAAATTTCTCTGCAGCATCTATTCTGAAAACGAAACTTCATAGTAAAAGCTTTTCAATTGACCCCTCCAAAAATACCCTGAAGCTGAACTGAAACTAATCTTTTGCATGAAACCATTTCATTTTCTAAACAAACTCTCTTGTGACACTCTCCATTTTTCCTAAAACCATACTGATGGTTGGTAATTTTGATGTTATTAAACTCATCTAATAACATTATTTCAATCAGTTTCGCAACTGAAGATAAGAGTGCAATCGGCTTGTTATTTTGGCCTCCTTTTTTGCTTTTCCCGGTTTAGAGAGTGGAGATACTCTTCCCATTTTCCAGTTCTGCGGTATGATTGATGAATTTAAAGACATTTAAGACTTGTAAAGTAAGGAAGAAAAAAGAGTTTCAACGAATCTCCGTCTTCAGCGAATTTACATGTAGCACAAGAGGAAAGTCGCTTTCCTCGTCGTACTATATCCCTTCTTGCTCAATTGCGCTGCATATATAGCCCTCATCTCAGCAGCTACTTATCGAGAATTTAAAAAAAGACGCCAACAGCATCTGTCCTAACTGTTTTTATAGTCCTCATGACGTACTTCACCCTTTTAACTGTCCGGTTAAACCACCAACACATACTACAGACCTGTGAGACCACTCTGCCGAAGTCACCAACTGGATTTAAATACAAAATCTGGAGAGGAGGGGTTTTGTAGGTTCCCCAGAAAATAAAAATCAACTCACGTTAGGAGTTTTTCTCGGTTCTTCGCACTAACCAAAAGCTGCCTGCTAGAGCCGGAGTTTACTCAGCAGTGGAATAGGGGGCTTTCCCACTATAAGCGAACACTGTGCAACCGCCAGAGCCACTCTTTGACAGACAAGACGCCGCAGAAAATTAATATTCATGATTGAGATTGTAAAAAACTATATGAAAAACGACAAAACGAAACGGGGCAGCATACGAATCGATGTTTGTGAGCAGTTACCAACAACACTAAGGAGAGTTCTTTTGAAATTATGTAAAAAACGATAATTAATGGTAATCACAATAATTTGAATCTCAACTTGAGATGGTTTATAACTTTTAATTAATAGGCAGGGTTGGACGAAATGGGAAAGACCACAACTCCTAAGTTCCCACTTTAATGCCGAAAAGAGCTTCTATATTGTCAAACTCGCATTGAATTGCATACATGCATATACAACCCAACAAAATCTACAAATAAAACATTGTGGCCTCGAAGAGAAGGTACTAAAACTGGCCAAAATCAAAGTCAAGAAGTTCAATTGTAAAAAAAACTAATACCAAAATATATCACTTTTGGCAAAAACTTTTAATGCATTTTTAATTCAATGCTGCAAAAAAAACACCATGGTCCCAAGCATGGCCTAATGTAACGTTAAAAATTGAAAAATAGCCAATCGAAGATTGGAAAAGAGTAATGAACGCAAGTAAATATTATAAAAAAAACACTGACTTTGTCGAAAAAATCTCAACTTTCGAACTTCAAAGAAAAAAATAGATACCCTTTAAGCACTTTGAATTTTTATAACGATTTATAATTACCGCTTTTTTGATAAAACCAACCCAATGTGAGAAAACTGGATCAACAGGTGACGTTTATATTCCGTTGGAAAGCTAACAATCAAATTCTATTTTCGAATCTTTTTTTTTCGCGCCATTTCGTTCGTATTTGGAGAGTACTAGTGACGTCACTTTGAGCAGATGAATTTCAATTGAACTCAAAAAGTGCATATATTCCTAAGTGCATCCATAAATGCATCAATATTTATGAATGCACATCTGTAGTTATAAGGCATTTATGCACATTTTAAACCTTTTTCCTGAAAAAAAAACAAAAAAATCAGCAAGACCTAAATAAAAGTTTTCATTATGTTCATTACTCTTAAACAAAAACTGAACCGTCTGTTTGTGAAGAAGAAATGCATCAAAAAGCAGGCCGACTGAAAAAAAGTTGAAACCAATAAGACAAAATATACCTGTTGTTGTTGTTGTTAGCCCACGCGGGTCGGGTTGGGCTCTTCTGTCTCCAGGTCAAGGAACTTAGCAACCTCTACCGGCCGAAGCCACAGGTCTGCTGGGGTGAGTGGGGAGGGGTTTTGGGAGCAGTTGAAAAGGTGACATGTTGTGTGGGATGCAAGGGAACAGGTTGGGCAAAGGTGGGAGATGGAGCTGTCGAGGCGGGATAGGTAAGTGTTAAGGAGCCGGCTGTAGCCAGACCGGAGTTGGGAGAGCTTACAGCGCGTGGGACGTGGGAGAGATTTTTCAGAGGGGTCAATCTTTGGGGAAGGGATACAAATAACTTTAGACGGAGGGGTTTCGGCTAGGAACTCGGTTACAAGGGAGGTATGGTTGTCTTTTAAAATTGGTTTGTAGTAGTTAAAAATAAAAGTGGAGACTTCGTCTCGGTCGTCCAGAACTAGAGGGTGGTTTGCGTAGACTGAAAAGTCGGTTAAAATTTTCTGGGTGTCTTCTTTGAAGCAGCTTATAATTGAGGGGCGAAGTAGACGGGGAGGAGGGGGATGTGAATGTATAAAATTAAT